AATAACTAAACATTTCCGTACCATCTGCCCAGCCGCACTTGATTTACATGAATTTGATGATACATTGTAACAATATTTGCTTTTTGATAACACACAATAATAAATTACATCATTCTATCTTGCAAAATTAAACATTAGAATAGTTTATGTAAAAATATTTGTTTAATTTATGAAACAGCGAGTGTGGATGTGTGGACGTGTGTATAATGTGCGTGTATGTGTGGATGTGTGTATAATGTGCGTGTTTGTGCGGAGTTGGGGACTTTTGGGCCATTCGAAAGTTTGACGTAGCATTTATGTTGAGAATATCTTCTAAACACTTAAATAGTGATCACCAATGTGATTTTGAATCGGTTCATGGGTATTTGTGAAAAATGTGAATGGGTGCGAACGTGATATATGACGTCATGTAAGGGATAAGCGATCTGATTTCGTGTGGCTACGTGTGACGACGTGTGACGACGTGTGACGACGTGTGACGACGTGTGACGACGTGTGACGATATCGGTGTGGATGTAAAAATCGCAAAACTGTGATGTCTGAACAATCTGTTGACTGAAACAGAATGGCAAGTTCACCTAACAAAGACGTTTAGTGGGACTATCACACAAAATGTCAAGTTCACACAAGAAAAACATGACACACACAATGACAAGTTTACCTACGAATACCACTTAGTTGGACCATCACACAGAATGACAAGTTCAAAAAAAAATACCATTTAGTTGGACCGCCACACAGAATGACAAGTTCACCTAGGAGTAACGTTAAGTTATACCTCCACCACCTGTTAACTTCTCTCTATTACCAGGCTCTAATAAGCCATTAAAAATTAATGTACCTTTTAGCGGACCGTCCGCCTGTTGCCATGGTGACGATGTAGTGAGCTATTGTCTGACCACAACTCTGACCAGCTGTTCTATTTTCCACACTTTGACCCGGCTACAGTCAGAGATGTATGGCCATATAACCCGGCTACCATCAGAACTGTATAGCCATATAACCCGGCTACCATGAGAACTGTATGGCCATATAACCCGGCTACCATCAGAACTGTATGGCCATATAACCCGGCTACCATCAGAACTGTATGGCCATATAACCCGGCTACCATCAGAGATGTATGGCCATATAACCCGGCTAACATTAAAGCTGTATGGCCATATAACCCGGCTACTATCAGAGCTGTATGCCCATATAACCCGGCTACCATCAGAACCGTATGGCCATATAACCCGGCTACCATCAGATCTGTATGGCCATATAACCCGGCTACCATCAGAACTGTATGACCATATAACCCGGCTACCATCAGAGATGTATGGCCATATAACCCGGCTACCATTAAAGCTGTATGGCCATATAACCCGGCTCTCTACAGAACTGTATGGCCATATAACCCGGCTCTCATCAGAGTTGTTTGGCCATATAACCCGGCTACCATCCAAACTGTATGGCCATATAACCCGGCTACCATCCAAACTGTATGGCCATATAACCCGGCTACCATCCAAACTGTATGGCCATATAACCCGGCTACCATCAGATCTGTATGGCCATATAACCCGGCTACCATCAGAGATGTATGGCCATATAACCCGGCTACCATCCAAACCGTATGGCCATATAACCCGGCTACCATCAATGCTGTATGACCCTATGGACGGGAGTCGAAAGGTTATTAAAATAACACTAGCATTGGGGGATCGAACAGGAATTCTTGGGACAGCTGTAACTGTGTCTGCCCCACGACCACAACCTCACTTAGCTGGTAACACGAGTAATAATAAACCATTCTGACAAAATGTAATTATATCTGTAAACAAATTGATTTATCTATTCTATGTTGTCTGTAGTGTGACACATCTAAGCTAAATTCATTTCTCTTTATTTTACAGACGCCGTTTTTTGTGGATAGGAACAGTCGTAGACAGCACTATAGTTGGTTAGATGAGAAGAATACTTGGCGTGCACCAGAATGAGGTTTGTAAACAAGAATGAGGCTTGTACACCAGAATGAGGCTTGTACACCAGAATGAGGCTTGTACACCAGAATGAGGCTTGTACACCAGAATGAGGCTTGTACACCAGAATGAGGCTTGTACACCAGAATGAGGCTTGTACACCAGAATGAGGCTTGTACACCAGAATGAGGCTTGTACACCAGAATGAGGCTTGTACACCAGAATGAGGCTTGTACACCAGAATGAGGCTTGTACACCAGAATGAGGCTTGTACACCAGAATGAGGCTTGTACACCAGAATGAGGCTTGTACACCAGAATGAGGCTTGTACACCAAAATGAGACTTGTACACCAGAATGAGACTTGTACACCAGAAAGAGACATGTATACCATAACGAGACTTGTACACCAGAATGAGACTTGTACACCAGAAAGAGACATGTATACCATAACGAGACTTGTACACCATAACGAGGCTTATACACCAGAATGAGGCTTGTACACCAGAAAGAGGCTTGTCGTGGACCATTGATGCGGCTGTCGTGGCTTACCATCAGTTGATGATGAGACTTACGTCATATTAAAAAATCTAATGGGTTTTCAAACATTACACAAAGATGGAATTTAGAACTATTATAAAAGCAGTAACCGTAGGATAATGAAAAATGTTTATGGTAAGTAGATGATCCAATAATTTTAGTACAGTTAAATTTAAATATGCGACCTTAAGAGTAACATTTTATAAAAAAAAACATACTAGGACTAGGTTTTCAAGATGAAACATCACAGTCTAAATATGTAAGAAACTTTTTGTTTATATCTCACGATAAATGCCCAAAGAGGAAGAGCTAACGATAGAATCAATAGCAGGAAATAGAAATAGGAGCCAAATAGTGGGCTTGTTCATTTGGTTATATCATACATATGCTAGACATACAAGCCCAATATTAGGCTTGTCTATCTGGTCATATTATACATATTCCCTTTTCAGCCTTTCTTTATCCGGCATCAGTGTTTCTTCTAGACTTTTTTCTCCGGAGGAGAGGGGGGGGGGGGCACTTGAACAGATGCCTGGAAGAAACTCTGTCCGGCATTAGCCTCAACCACTCTCCCTCCACAACTTGTTCTCAAACCGAAAATCCAAAATAATAACTGAACCATCAGTTAACAAAACTACTTTTATACTCGCTTGAGTCATGCCATTTCATTGTTCCACAATCACAAGTAAAAAAATAAATTATATAAACGAATAAAAAAAATTGAACTTTCGTTTATTGTTAAAAACCGTTAACTGTTAAAAATTAAAATTTACGAACACATCGAAAGGCCATCGCACGCGTACAATGGGCTAAATAAAACTTTGAAGCTGGAACAGCACCAGGAAAGAGTTGGGATATGTCATTCACTTGAAACTGTCCATTAATCTTGCACGGGTACGGGTATATCCCCATATACCTGTAGCACTGGCCGCGGGCTTCAAGGGATGCCGGCTTTGAGGTCCCGTGCTGTGATTTACATGAGCGCCATAGTAAACAGGCTAGTTATCAGTCCCGCCTCTGTTGCCCGGAGAACTCCGAGTAGGGGAGATAAAAAATGATATGATCGTTGGGAGAGTTATATTTTCTTGTTCTTCTCATGTGAAGTGGTTGGCCTTTTGAGATTCAATGAGGGGAGGATATTTCAAAGTTTGGTGATTTAAAATTTATTTTATGCCTCAGAGCTACATTTCGGAGCAAAAATTTCTTTTTGAGACTAGATCTAAATTACGATTACCGTGGGAAACAGCATACTTGTGGTATTACACCTTGAGACGACTGTATAATTTACAAAATAAAATTGCCTAAAACAATTATTAAAATCATTGTAATTACAACTTGCTTTTCTCGCATCCCGAGCAGAGTTTCTTCCAGGCATCTCTTGGAAGGTGGGGGAGAGAAGAGGAAGTCTACTGCACCCCCCCCCCCTCCCGAACGAGATGGAATTTATATAGTAAACATATACGTTTAGTGTCCGCCCCCCCCCCCCCCGGAAAATGTAGACCTCCCTTCATCCGAAAATATCAAGTGCCCCCCCCCCCCTCCCGGAGAAAAAAGTCTGGACGAAACACTGATCCCAAGTTTCTTCAGACATCACTTCGGGGACACTGCCCCACCCCCTCTCCGAAACAACTCCACCTCCCCTCCACTAACTAATATTTAAACATTATAGACAATATATAATTTTACTAACGTACGCTCTCTCCCGGAAATTTAATTCCAACTCCCGGAAAGTCTCCTGTTTTATTTCTCCAGCTAACTTAACTCCCAAAACCTCTGTTTATCAACGTCGATGATTTAACCAATTGTAGCGACTCCTAGTGGATGTGTGTGGGGGGGGGGGGGGGGATCGCCCCGGGTAACACACGACCTAGTAACGCCACTGCCCACACAATACGTTACATACTAGATCTAGTATCATTATTTTGTATTTAAGAAAATCAAGAAAACTTGAAACCCTTGAAAAATGAAATACAAGGAAGTAATTAAATGCCTAAATTATATGATGGTTAACAAAGCTAGTAGACCACGTGATCAATCAATCAAATATATTATTTTGTTTATTTGAGAATAAGGCCGGGCTAGTACGTATGGCGGAGTTTGTCTGAGTTTGAATAGTGCATATCATTGTATACATTTAGCTGTAAAATATTATTTGTAGATGCATCTAACCCTAAACAAACTTTTACACCCAATGTGTATCCATCAATCGTAAAGATATCACACACCTATTCAGTTAATTTTATATCAATACAAAATAAGTTAACAAAAACTATCATATTTTGTAGTGAAAACAGTTGAGTTCTTGGTCGAGTATATCACGTATTATATATATTGTAACAGCGATATCATGAACAACGCAAGAGCGGTATGACATACCCAAAGACCCTAGCGACTGGAACTAATAAGGGAAGACGGGGATTGTAAGGTCTTCTGGAGAGAACGTCAAATCACAGGCAGATGAAAGCGGTGGTCAGCCAAAAACTATTGGGACCTAGGGTCAGATTTGTGATGGTGCTGTCAGAACTGGAGAAGTCTGGAGGTCAAACTTGGGAGAAGAAGACTGGAACATGTCTCGGTGTGGTGGTGGTAAAGGTGGCTGAATCCTTCGTAGGTTGTGGTGCAAGATTGACTGGATGTAGTTGTGTCATTTGACAAACGTCAAGTGTCTAAAGTCAACACTCTTAGTACTTACACTTTAGTACTTACACTTGTAGTACTTTCACTTGTAGCTATTACACTCGTATTACTTACACTCGTAGTACTTACACTTGTATTACTTACACTTGTAGTACTTACACTAGGAGTACTTACACTTGTAGTACTTACACTTGTAGTACTTACACTTGTAGTACTTACACTTGTAGTACTTACACTTGTAGTACTTACACTTGTAGTGCTGACACTAGGAATACTTACACTTGTAGTACTTACACTTGTAGTACTTACACTAGGAGTACTTACACTAGGAGTACTTACACTTGTAGTACTTACACTTGTAGTACTTACACTAGGAGTACTTACACTTGTAGTACTTACACTTGTAGTACTTACACTTTTAGTACTTACACTTGTAGTACTTACACTTGTAGTACTTACACTTGTAGTACTTACACTTGTAGAACTTACACTAGGAGTACTTACACTTGTAGTACTTACACTTTTAGTACTTACACTTGTAGTACTTACACTTGTAGTACTTACACTTGTAGTACTTACACTTGTAGTACTTACACTTGTAGTACTTACACTTGTAGTACTTACACTTGTAGTACTTACACTTTTAGTACTTACACTTGTAGTACTTACACTTGTAGTACTTACACTTGTAGTACTTACACTTGTAGTACTTACACTTGTAGAACTTACACTTGTAGTACTTACACTAGGAGTACTTACACTAGGAGTACTTACACTTGTAGTACTTACACTTGTAGTACTTACACTAGGAGTACTTACACTTGTAGTACTTACACTTGTAGTACTTACACTTTTAGTACTTACACTTGTAGTACTTACACTTGTAGTACTTACACTTGTAGTGCTGACACTAGGAATACTTACACTTGTAGTACTTACACGTGTAGTACTTACACTAGGAATACTTACACTTGTAGTACTTACACTTGTAGTACTTACACTAGGAGTACTTACACTTGTAGTACTTACACTTGTAGTACTTACACTAGGAGTACTTACACTAGGAGTACTTACACTCGTAGTACTTACACTCGTAGTACCTACACCCGTATTATTCACTCTTGTAGTACTCACACTAGCAGTACTCAGAGTGATAATACCCAGACTCACACTCGTCGTACTGATACTTGTAGTACTCTAACAGTACTCACACTGTTAATACTCAGACTCGCACTTACACTCGTAGTACGTACACCCTTAATACTCACACTAGCAGTACGGACACAGTACTTACACGTAAAACTGTTAACACCCAAACTTGCAGTACCTACAACCATAACATGCTAGCATTTAGCCTCGCTAACCTTCTGTACACTTCTGGCTAAATTCATTTTAAATTGCTCCTCACCCCCCCCCCCTAACCGAGAACTCTCTATTACGCCGTGAAACTGACTATTCTTTTAGTACCACTTTTAGTCCCTAGCATCCTTAAAATTTAATTAAGAAAATCTAATTAAATCCCTTCGTATTAATTTTCAAAACATCTAAGCCAATTTAACTTTCGTGTGAAATTCATCCACCAAAGTAAAAAGTCCATTACAAGTGTTGACGTTAAAACGTTACCCAAGTAATAGACCTGTTTCATGGCGCGGGGGGGGGGGGGGGGGGCATAAGATTACACCTCAATAGCCGGGGTTCATTACAATAGGGGGACTTAAAGGTGCTTAACCTAGTTGATACACACTTAAACCGGTTAGGCTATTGGGGCCCTCGATTGAACCACACTTGGAGATTAGCATTCAAACAGGGTTATCTTTCTTGTTGTCTATTCAAACGTGCTTGTTCTGGGACTAGCTCTAAGATAGACATACGATATGTTTATATGTCATGGAGTTATGTTTGGTAGCGTTTTTCTGGCTAGACAAAAACTGGCTACATGTCTTTCTGTACAAGTACTTGTCATTTTTTAGACATATACGCTGTTTGTTTACATTTGAATAACATAAGTGTGCCGTCTACTCTATTATAAGACGCTTGTGTTTATGAACTTTGTGTATCGGAAGGTTTTGTTTGCCTAATTATTTATCAAATTAAACGTGAACTTCCTTGATTGGTTTCATATTGGATGCTGTTTCGTAGGTTAGGTTAGGTTAGGTTAGGTTAGGTTAGGTTAGGTTAGGTTAGGTTAGGTTAGGTTAGGTTAGGTTAGGTTAGGTTAGGTTAGGTTAGGTTAGGTTAGGTTAGGTTAGGTTAGGTTAGGTTACGTTAGGTTAGGTTAGGTTAGGTTAGGTTAGGTTAGGTTAGGTTAGGTTAGGTTAGGTTAGGTTAGGTTAGGTTAGGTTAGGTTACGTTAGGTTAGGTTAGGTTAGGTTAGGTTAGGTTAGGTTAGGTTAGGTTACGTTAGGTTAGGTTAGGTTAGGTTAGGTTAGGTTAGGTTAGGTTAGGTGAGGTGAGGTGAGGTGAGGTTAGGTTAGGTTAGGTTAGGTTAGGTTAGGTTAGGTTAGGTTAGGTTAGGTTAGGTTAGGTGAGGTGAGGTGAGGTGAGGTGAGGTGAGGTGAGGTTAGGTTAGGTTAGGTTAGGTTAGGTTAGGTTAGGTTAGGTTAGGTTAGGTTAGGTTAGGTTAGGTTAGGTTAGGTTAGGTTAGGTTAGGTTAGGTTAGGTTAGGTTAGGTTAGGTTAGGTTAGGTTAGGTTAGGTTAGGTTAGGTTAGGTTAGGTTAGGTTTTCTTTTTCAATAGGTGGGAAATAAATTGTTTTCAATCATGTTCGATTTTGGTCGATTTTGATCGATTGTATTTGTTTTTATTTTTTCCAGATGAAATCAAGTTAGTCGTCCTCCACGAACCAGAAGACACCAGGTGTTTTCATGTCATATGTCTGCTGTCATGTTGTATTCGATACTCATAACTGGTCAGCTTTCATGTTGTATTCGATACTCATAACTGGTCACCTGTCATGTTGTATTCGATACTCATAGCTGGTCAGCGGCCATGTTGTATTCGATACTCATAACAGGTCAGCTGTCATGTTGTATTCGATACTTATAGCAGATCAGCTGTCATGTATTCGATACTTATAGCAGGTCAGCTGTCATGTATTCGATACTGATGAACAGGATGAACACACTCTGGAGAGAATATTCTAAACCCTTTTCCCCAGTGCCATTAAACATATGTGCTCATACAAATTGTATTATGTGTTTTTGTCTTCATGTTTTGCACAATTGCTATGTATTATTGTTTCATCATTTAGTTCACCCCCCAAAATAATGCCAAAATATTTTATGTCGTCGTGCTACAGCTAATCACAGCCGATCCTAGACTATTCTCAACGACACTGTCGTTGAGCCACTTATCGATGGTGTCGGTATAGAATAAGAAAATGGATGAATCAACTTTGTTTTAGAAATCTATATCTCAGTGCATATGTTCATCAGTTCCCTCCGATTTCGTTGTTTTTGTTATTAGATGCCAACATCGGACATTACGAACTATTTTTTAAAATAAAAATTCTAACTGAAATATCGCACAATAAAGTTGGTCCTAGTTAGAAAGACATTCACAGTTTGTATTACAATTATACTACGACCAAACAAACATAAACATTAAATTTTTAAAAATTAACAGATATTAAACTTTCTTGTAAACATATTATTTTTAAGATCTATTTGTAAGTAAACTACCTTACATACCTTCTTGAAATACTAAATTTAAAAAAAAAAAAAATATAACTATTTTTTTAAAGTACAGGCTACAGTTTTTCATCCATATGTATAATAATCGGGTCCCTTATTACGAAGTTGGCAAATGCCATTAACATAACCAAACATAATAAACAATGTCAGTAAATTATTCGTCTTTATATTTTAAAAAAAATTCATAAAAAAACGTTTTAATAACAAGCTTTTATGTAATGATGCACTAAAAAGTAGAAAATAAATTATAGACTACTATTTAAATAACTATAAAGAAAAGCCTGGGTCACTTTAGTATCTATTGGATACTTTTACTAATGTTAAGGAAGACACCCACGCTTTTCTTTATAGTTATTTAAATAGTAGTCTATAATTTATGTTCTACTTTTTAGTGCATCATTACATAAAAGCTTGTTATTAAAACGTTTTTTATGAATTTTTTTTCAGTACTTTACATGTTTTATTTACAATAGAGTTACATGACTAAAAACCATTGCGCGCCTACTGAACATCACGTTCAGTAGGCGCGCAATGGTTTTTGAACGCAGCCATTACGTGATGGCGCAGCTATTGAAGGTGATGACGCGTGTGGTGTGGTTGGCTAGACATGCCTACTAATTCGGTCCAAATTTTAATTAATTCATAAAAATTAATTAGGCATCCAATTAAGTCAAATTTAGTTTCAGATTGCATTGTCTTCATGTCTTGACCCACGTGCCAAGTGTGAATCGTATCGGTCAAGTAGAACTGTCCGAATTTTCACTCCTGCGTTTCCGTCTAGACAGACAGACTGTCGACAGAGGAAGTGAGTTAAATAAAAGCTTGTAATATGCAATGCATATTAACTTTGTAGAAGTATTAAACTTATAAATAAATAATAGCCAACTAAATAGTTATTAAAGGTTTTTAATGACAAATGATCCTTTCTATTTAGTTTTTCTTTTAAATTTATAAAAATAAATTTTAAAATAAAAACAATTTAATATGTTGAACATACTTTTATTTCTTGCCTGTGATCACAAAGGGTCCATTTTGATCTAAACATGTTGATTTGTTGGTGTATTATTATTCTACTGATGTGTGTGTTATAATGGGAAAAAATGTGTTAACAATGTCTCAAACACTTAGGAGAAACATCAAAACACAAGACACAACTACAAACAGCATCTACCAGACATTCCCCTATTTCTAAAGCGAAAAAAAAATCTGATTAAGAAACAACAATACAACCGTAAATTCTTTCTGTTTAGACTAATCTATTTCTAGTTAAATTAGATAATTATAAACAAAATTCAATAAAATATTCAACATTTTTTTTTCGGTTTCTCTTTTATTAAAGAAAATTGTAAGGGCACTTCCTAATGACAATAATGCCGGGGCGATTTGTCGTGATGGGTGCCCTTTGATGTCGGGCGAATAAACACGTTACCTGCCCGCTCAGATAAGGCGCCTGTTTTCTTAGGCCGCGCGACCACACACAATAGCTGGGAGATGGAAGACATTTTTAATGCACAGGCGGGTCGTGTGGGTCTGGCCAGGGGCGGACTAAAAGATGGTAATGTGGGGGGTGGGGTGTTTGGGGTAAAAAGTTCTAATAATATATATAAATATATATAAATAAATAAATATAAATATATATATATATAAATAAAAATATAAATAAATAAATAAAAAATATATATATATATATATATATATATATATATATATATATATATATATATATATATATATATATATATATATATATATATATATATATATATATATATATATATATATATTTATATATACTACCAAGGGCGCTTAAGAACTTGCGCTTTTTACCCCACAAATGAATGTAATGATAAGTGTTACGAATGCGAGATGTGGACAGCGTCGAAGAACAATGAACGCAGAAAACGACGATCCAACACACTTAAAAATCAAGACAGGACGGCAGTTGTTCATTTCATAGTTTAGTTGCATACTGAGGCGTAGCGACCTATTCCGGCGCCCGGGGCGAACTATGTGTCCATACACACACGTTTTTTTAACAGTTACTGTGTTTAAACTGTTTTTATTTAGTGTCCCACACTCGATTTAGTTTGATCAGTCTGTTAACCCAATAAGTAGTCTTAAAATAATGAATCTCAAAACTAGCCTTGTATATATTTTTCTACCCCGTTTGGCGCCCCTCTAAGGTTGGTGCCCGGGGCGGCCGCCCCACCCGCCCTCCCTTAGCTAAGCCACTGCAACAGATACGACTACATGGACGACGACAGACAAAGACATCCACACCCTAACGCGATAACACCTACACTCATTTCCACTCCTTGCCCTAACAACCCAAATATACTCTCATAGCTATTCAGTACACTAAAATACCATTCACAACAGTGACGCTGTAGAACTGGGCACCCCACAAGTGTGCTACCATCGATGCTGTAGACTACTGTAGAGTTTTCGCCGTGCACCCCACAAATGTACTGCCAATGACTCTCAAAAACTTTCGCTGTGACCCCCCCCACCCCACACACTCCTGCTGCCAGTCTGCGCCTCTAGACCCCCACCCCCACCCCCACCCACCCAACCCCCACACACCTGCTGGCAGTCTGCGTCTCTAGCCCCCCACCCCAACCCCACACACCTGCTGACAGTGCGCC